GGCTTCCTCATCGTCTTCACCATCGTGGGCAACGTGCTGGTGGTGATAGCCGTGCTCACCAGCCGGGCGCTGAGAGCCCCCCAGAACCTCTTCCTGGTGTCGCTGGCCAGCGCGGACATCCTGGTGGCTACCCTGGTCATGCCTTTCTCCTTAGCCAACGAGCTTATGAATTACTGGTACTTCGGCAAGGCTTGGTGTAACATTTACCTGGCGCTGGACGTGCTCTTCTGCACCTCTTCCATCGTCCACCTGTGCGCCATCAGCCTCGACAGGTATTGGTCGGTCACGCAGGCGGTGGAGTACAACCTCAAACGGACCCCACGACGGATCAAGGCCATCATCCTCACTGTCTGGCTCATTTCGGCTGTCATCTCCTTCCCACCGCTGATCTCCATGTACCGGGACCCTGAAGGAGATGGCTTTCCCCAGTGCAAGCTCAATGACGAGACGTGGTACATCCTTTCTTCTTGCATTGGCTCTTTCTTTGCCCCTTGCCTCATCATGGTGTTGGTCTATATCCGCATCTACCGCGTGGCCAAGCTAAGGACCAGGACACTCTCTGAGAAACGCACGATGCCAGAGGGGTCCTCCCAGACTGAGAACGGCTTGAGCCGCGCTGCTGGGGGCTGCACGTCCCTGAGGATGCAGCTGGGAGAGAATGGACATTACTCAGTGCACCACTGGCGCAAAGCCTCTGAGCTGGAGGACATTGAGCTGGAGGAGAGCAGCACCTCAGAGAGTAGACGGAGGCGGAGCCGGGAGGAGCATCCCCGCAAAAGCAGCAAGAGCCAGTCCTTCTCCTACTCATATTCCTCCAAGCACTCTAGTAGCCGTCTGTCCCGCTCTAGCAATCGCTCCATGCAGTTCTTCTCATATCGCCGTCGACGGAAGCGTAGCAGCATCTGCCGTAAGAAAGTCACCCAGGCCCGGGAGAAACGCTTCACTTTTGTGCTGGCCGTGGTCATGGGGGTCTTTGTAGTTTGCTGGTTCCCTTTTTTCTTCAGCTACAGCCTCTATGGTATTTGCCGGGAGGCATGTGAGGTCCCTGAGACACTCTTCAAGTTCTTCTTCTGGATTGGGTATTGCAATAGCTCCCTCAACCCAGTCATCTACACCATCTTCAACCAGGACTTCCGCAGGTCCTTTAAACACATTCTCTTTAAGAAGAAGAAGAAGAACTTCCGGCATTGAGCCGGAGGAATGGATTTGTCTTGAGCAGGAGTGGAGTTAAAAGAGAAGGCTCTATGCTGAAAAAGAAAGGAGGGAAAAGAACATGGGGTTTGGGCTTAGAGAGGGCTTGCCCCTTTGGTGGTGCGGAGTGGTGGTCTGGGGTACGGGGATAGTGTCGGGGAGGCTGAGGGCATTCACTGTGGTGGGGAATGGCGACATGGTGCTGGAGGAGCGGTGCTGGAGTGTGGATGGGTAAATGGGGAGGGGAGTGATTGTCTTTGAACCCTGACAGAGGGCACGGGGAGCTCACAGAGAAAAATAGGCTAAGACACTGAGTTTGGGAGGCAGTGAGCTGTTACGGGCTCTGGAATTTTGTGGGGAAAAAGCAGAGACATCAAGAGGAAAGGATTGTGGCAGTGGTGATGGAGTATTTATAAATAGAGCAGCTGTGGCCCATGGTGGGCTCATCTCAGTAAGAAATTGGCTTTTACTCTTATATGGGGAAAGAAAGTGCAAAGTACCAGGCACTGGCAGTCTTTTGAGTTATGAAAGGATTTAAATGTTTGCCAAAAAAATCCTAAAGAACAATCCAAACTCTTTTCTAAATAAACCTTTGTACTGTTAAAACCTTCTGAATGATGATTTTACACAGGGTTTAAGTCAAACAGAAAGCATGGGGGTTTATTTTTCTGTGGAGGGGTCTTTGCATATAGAGCTAGATGGGAAATGTTTTTCCTGTCTTCCCATAATTTTTGATCTGTCAGTGGGAGAAACCTGGAAGTCTTGCATGTTTTCATGAAGTATGAAAAAGAACACATGCACCCCGTGACCTTATTTCCCCTGTTGGATCATCAGGCAGTAAATTGCTGCTCCAGCCCTCTCAGATCAGTAGCCTAAGCACTTTGCTGTCCTGGAGCAGGTAGTGAAAAAAATAATTAATTTGATAAACTCAACTAACATTTTCTGAGTTAAAAGAAAAAAAATCAAATTTCCAACCAGGTCAACTTTCATGTGCTCTGGGGAACTTTTTCCCCCTCTTTTTAGGTGCCCCTCAAAAAGGCTTATCTCAGGGGCTGGCTGTGTGCTGCACCCGTTCTCATGCAGTTGGAGGCAGTCTGCTGTAGAGATTTTCAGAGGAAGAGCAATCACCACACCACTAAGGTCTTTAAATCCTTCATATTTACCATCTTAGAGCACTAAATCCTTTGTATTTATTTTTTTAATGAGAAGCATACATTGCAGACTGTCGGTGTTGTATGTGAACAAATCTCAAAAGAAGGTGCAGCTGTTCCAAACCTTTAATATTAATGCTGCCTTCTTTCCCTTTTCCTGTTTGCATTTCTAGTTTATGATTTCAGGGGATTTTGTTGTGAGGAGGGGAGGGAAGAGGGAAGAAGAGTTTGAACAGTTATTAAAGCAAACTGCATTTCCCATGGGTTTATAAAATGTCATAAACTGTAATGAAGAGAATGAGAGACAGAGTGGTGTCTGTACAGTTGCCACTGAATACCAAGTGTAGGAGTCAGCTGAGAATTTACATCCTTTCTCCAACTGTGCTGCTGTAAGGTGTGTATTCTGTTTGCAGGGTAACGACTGCTCTGTTTTATGTGTATCACTCCTTACATAGGCAGCAGGATTTGGTTTCTGCCTCAGATGAACCTTTCCATAGTAAACAGCTCTTTGAAAAATAGAACAAAATCTATTCTCATATGGCAGGCTTCTTGAAACAGCTAAATTGAATCTATACCTGAGAATCATTAGATATCCTCTTCTTTGCTTCCCCTCTTCTGTCCGAAGGGTATCTGTAGCCTCTCTTCTCTTGAAATCTCTATGGCATAAGGAGGAAAGATAGAGCAGTCACTTTGTTTCATCAGTTTTTCATAACAAGCATTTGGTTCACTTAACCCTTGAAAAGGAGATTGGTGGTGGCTCAGGTTCTGGTATTAATTTAATGGACAATTTAACTTCAGGACCAACTCAAGTGGGAGTTTTGCCGAAGTAAGGATTAAATGACTGTACCAAATGCACATTTTCATTCTTAAGTCTGTAACGTATTGAATCCTTTCTTGAAATAAGACTTGGAGTTGTGAAAATATTTGGGCTTTGTTTAAACATTTGCACTTAAAGAAGGGATGGTAAGACTTATTTTGAGGACCATCCCTTTGTAAATAACAATAGTTTGATACAAATGCTTAACCTGAGACAGATAAATATGAGAAAAAATAGCAACTGAGAGGAGGAAATTACAAGCCATTTTCTCCTTTGCAAAATGGAGAATTCTTTTTAAAGTTACACCAAGAAGAGCTGAAACAAGATCATGTTATTTTTAGGTAACAATGTAGCTAAAAAGTTCAGGTTTGTTTAATCTGAAGAAACTATAAAAATGCCAGAGCAACCAAAGCAACATACGGTACATAGCTACTACCTCTGAGCTACTGGACGGCTTCATTAGAGATACCCATTCCCACCAGGACAAAGGTCTGCTTTTGTCACCTATTGCTCCTTCAGAGTGGCTTCCCAGTCTGCAGACACACAGCAGTTCCACTGTTGCACTGCTTTTGGAATGAGATTTGTTGCCTCTAAACACAATCCTTCCCTTTTGTTTTTCCTTGTAGAATTCAAGGAGTCTATGGAAGTGAAATTTAATGGACAGTCAGATTTTAGTGGAGGTGAAGTATATATGGAATGACTGATGTGCCTTAAAAGTAATTTCTTTGCTATAAAATTATTCTGTGGTCATTATAAACATAAAGGAAATAATGCTTCTGTTTCTATTTTGCGTTCCCAAATGTCTAAAAGGGATTGATGCAGATACTGAACATCTATGTGCAGCAGCATACTTAAAACTGGGGCATTTTCTGTGGTTTTAATTTATTTCTCATCACAATTGCTCATCTGATTCAGTGCCTCAGGAGGATCTTATTTCTTCTGAGCTAGATAAAAACTAATATTCATCAATAAATATTGTGCAGTGTACACCCCTTTTAAGTGCATTTCCCTCTAAACTAGTGAATACAGAGGATTTCTATAAAAATTGTTTTTAACATAAGTACTTAATATGCTTCAAGGAAGCAAAATGGGGCTGATTTATTTTTTTAATTACGGTGTTCTCTTATTACTTGTAATAGCTGAAGACTGGAATTCGTTTGTTGTAACATATTGTGTGGTGTTAACTTTTCATAAAAAGTTATCAGCTCTGCTACTCGCACTGTGGTTGTGCTTCCACTGTAAGCTGGCTAATAGCATATACAGGAAAAAAAATAGTCAATGCAGCTTTTGCTTAAGAAAAAGGGAGAAGATATTTTATGTTTCAAATGTGTCCAGCTGTGTCTTTGATCACATTTGATGAGCTGGTTGAAACAGTCACTCTTTACTGTTGTGGAAGAACGAAATGTTACTATGAAGCCATATTGATTTTAACAACAAGCACCTGCTCTTTAACTGTTCATTTGCTCATTTCACCATGAAGAAAATTTTCTGTCAGGCTAAAACGAGAAGTTAATGTTTTATTTTCAAAACCAATTTTCTGAACAGTACCACTGTTGGTTGGCTATTGGCGTATCCAACGGTACAGCTTAGCTAGGACGGGAACCCGGTGTTGCTGTCCTTCAGCACTCTTCTTGTGGGAGTTTTGTGTGAGTGGCAACTGCAGGATCAACCTCTTTGAGGCTGGAGGCAGGTGGGAGGGGCCTTATATATAGAAGATTTGACAGAATCACTTTAAATCATGGTCTAAAATAAGAATCAGGCCCTTGTTGTTCTGTGTGATATCTGTATAGAAGAGTCATCTTGCTCGAAGAGCACTGGCAATTTCTGAGAAGTAGACCTGAAGTAAAAGACAATGTGCAAGCAGCTTTGCCCACGCTGAGCTGTATCACCCTTTGTGAGCAATCCCAAAAAACTTCAGTGGAGTTTACTTGTGAATGGGTGAACTACTCAGTGTGGACAAGGATGTTAGGAGCTTCCTTAGACACTGCCTCTTTTTCAGTAAATGTGCCTGAGGAATGTAAGCATACATTTGTGTGTAAATGTACATAACTGAAAGAAAGGAGTCCTCTCTGCTTGACTTTGACTGCTGTTCAAGCCCATCAAAGGTATGGGTCAAGGGGGTTTTTTACTATATAATCAGAGTACCAAACCCTACTGTATATTTGCAGTATGAGCTGTGTGAAAAGCATTATCTGATTGCCTCTATTTTTTGCAGAAGAAAACTATTGCTCTCTTTCTTGCACAATGGAAGTTGGTATTGTTTAGCATCAGCATCTGAGAAGTGTTAAGGATTTTGTAGGAAATGTCAGTAACAGCATACTGTTCAGGAGAATGTTCTGACAAACTATGACTACAGTCAAGAAGGAGAGAATACCTATGAGCTTTGCAGAAGGAAGGCCAGATGCTCTCTGTGAGTTTGTTTTCACAATTGCTCATTGTGACCTGGTGAGCAGACGGCAACTAGATGCTTCAGAAAAAAAAAAAAAAAAGCTCTAATTTGGAGAGGGGGGGCAGTGTATGAGGCACTTACTATCACAACACTGGAGGAATTAATATTTACATACCTTTACAGTATGGACAAGTACAGTGCAGGAATTTGCCTTTTTCATTGCACAATAGCAAATGTTAATTTGCTTTCCAGATCTGTGGGTCAACTAGGCCATCCAGAAGATGACACAGGAGAAGGTAGAGATAAGGGATTGCTCACTGCAGTGTTCAACACCAAGCTTAAGTTTGTCCTTTGTCCTTGAAATTAAGCCAAAGATACACCTTGGCACTTGGACACAAAAGACCATGTAACATCAATAATGCTACACTGAATATAGTCTAGTTTCAGAAAAAAAGCATCAGTTCTTATTATACACTCTGCATGTTTCCTTTTCAGGACAGAAATGGGAGAGTTTGAGGCTTAAGGCATGTGAGAAAAGAGTAATCAGCAGTTTGAAGGGTCATGAGTGTATTTTGAAATTTCCCTAGATTCCATTCTGATAACTGAGATGTCTTTAATTTTGTGGCTTCCCAATCACTTTGAACTCCTAGGAAAGACTTAGGAAGGTATGTAACATGGAAACAGTAGAAATACTGTCTCTCAAGGAAGCAAAAATTGGCAAATTGCTCAGAGAGTCAGTGTTCAGGTAGTTATACCAGATGCCCAATCCTCCACTGGTCCTGCTACTGGTTTTATTGGGAAAGGCTGGTCTGTCTTCTACTCACAGTGACTATCATGCTCGATCTGAATTTAGGTGATACCTACAGTTGGTACATTGCCTTTGTTTGAAGTGGCAGACCTTGGAGTATGACATAAGACATTTTATGCAGTTTATCTCTCCTCTGTCACATGTCCTTTACTAC